GAAGTGTAAGACGTATTATAATTGCTAAGAATTATTCTACTATATTATTGTATAATAATTATTAGGCAAACCCTAAAATACAACTAGATATGACTATATAGGGATATAAAAAGGTAGGCCTATACAATAACAGCTATTAGGATTTTTCAAATACATTCTTGTTATAAATAAATTCTGCCTACCAATTACAGTAATATAAAATACACATTCTGCAGTATTGCCATGCACATCCTCAGCTTCGCATGATACATTCTGTCGTTCAATTGGCCAAATGACGTCAAACCTGTCACCAGATACTCTGCTACAATTCCATGTCACACTCCCTGAATTGTCACTTACTGATACATTCCAATATACAGTTGAATATGGCTGACCCGGATCAGTTAATGCTAAATTAATGTCATTGGGACATTTTAACATGGGTTCTCCGGTATCTGCATAAAATATAACATATTAGAATGTCATTAAACTACTGAAAGTCTAGCGTGTTTCATATGTTAACAAATTTCAAACCATTTTCAAACACAACAAACGTATAGATGTTGCTCTGTTGTAAAGTGCTCTAATAAAATATTATCTTGATAACCCCTTACCTCTGACAGTTACTGTGAAGGAACAGTTGTCTGTGTTACCAAATGCATCTGTAGCAACATAGTCTAATGCTGTGATGCCAACAGGAAACGCGTGTTCAGATTTGTTGTACTCTGTACCTGATCCAGAAACTGTCACTTCATATATAGAACCTGAGTTGTCTGTGACGTTCACTAACCAACTCACTAGTGCTACAGCCGACCCATCATCAGTGGATACATCAATGTTACTTGGACATGAAATACTCGGAGTTTCTTTATCTAAAGAACAATATAAAAACAAGATTAAGATAATCGATTAGAATATTCTATTAATATTGTAAAATGATATCTGGTCAAGCATTAACAATAGTAAATAAAACTAAATGACTATATAAGAAAAATAATATTTTGTTATAGGCCTAGTCATATTTAGATGTATTTACTATTATGTTCAGTGTTTGATCAATTATCATTTTATACAATATTAAAATACAATATTTCTAATCAATTATAATATGCAAAATAAAACCTTATAAATTATATTCCAATAAATCAAGATTATTTTTAAAAATGGCCTACCGATTACAGTAACATAAAATACACATTCTGCAGTATTGCCATGCGCATCCTCAGCCTCGCATGATACATTCTGTCGTTCAGTTGGCCAGATGACATAAAATCTGTCACCAGATATTTTGCTACAATTCCATGTCACACTCCCTGAGTTGTCACTTACTGATACATTCCAATATACAGTCGAATAAGGCTGATCCGGATCAGTTAATGCTACATCAATGTCATTGGGACATTGCAACATAGGTTCTCTAGTATCTACAAAAGATGTAACATTTTTATAAGGTCATTAAACTGTTGATAGCTCACCGCTTTATTTCATATTTTTGTAGATTCAAATCGTTTTCAAACATATCAAACTGTAGATGTATGCCTTTTATTTGTACTTTTATATTATATATTGACTTGTATTAACCCCCTACCTTGGACAGTTATTGTGAAGGAACAGTTTTCTGTGTTTCCAAATGCGTCTGTAACAACATAGTCTAAAGTTGTCATGCCAACAGGAAATGCTTGTCCAGTTTCGTTGTACTCTGTACCAGAGCCTGACACTATTACTTCATACATAGAATCTGTGTTGTCGGTGACATTGACTGACCAGCTGACCACTGCTACGGCTGATCCATCATCATTAGGTACACCAACGCTTCTTGGACATGAAACACTTGGATTTTCTTCATCTGAAAACCAACAAAAGAGTAAAACGTATTATAATTGCTAAGAATTATTCTACTATATTATTGTATAATAATTATTAGGCAAACCTTAAAATACAACTAGATATGACTATATAAGAAAATAAAAAGGTAGACCAATACAATAACATCTATTATGATTGTTCAAATACATTCTTGTTATGAATTAATTCTGCCTACCAATTACAGTAACATAAAATACACATTCTGCAGTATTGCCATGCGCATCCTCAGCTTCGCATGATACATTCTGTCGTTCAATTGGCCAGATGACGTCAAACCTGTCACCAGATACTCTGCTACAATTCCATGTTACACTCCCTGAATTGTCACTTACTGATACATTCCAATATACAGTTGAATATGGCTGACCCGGATCAGTTAATGCTAAATTAATGTCATTGGGACATTGTAACATGGGTTCTCCGGTATCTGAATAAAATATAACATATTAGAATGTTATTAAACTACTAAAAGTCTACCGTGTTTCATATGTTAAAAAATTTCAAACACAACAAACGTATAGATGTTGCTCTGTTGTAAAGTGCTCTAATAAAATATTATCTTGATAACCCCTTACCTCTGACAGTTACTGTGAAGGAACAGTTGTCTGTGTTACCAAATGCATCTGTAGCAACATAGTCTAATGCTGTGATGCCAACAGGAAACGCGTGTTCAGATTCGTTGTACTCTGTACCTGATCCAGAAACTGTCACTTCATACATAGAACCTGAGTTGTCTGTGACGTTCACTAACCAACTCACTAGTGCTACAGCCGACCCATCATCAGTGGATACATCAATGTTAATTGGACATGAAATACTCGGAGTTTCTTTATCTAAAGAACAATATAAAAACAAGATTAAGATATATTATAATCGATTAGAATATTCTATTAATATTGTAAAATGATATCTGGTCAAACATTAACAATAGTAAATAAAACTAAATGACTATATAAGAAAACTAATATTTTCTTATAGGCCTAGTCATATTTAGTTGTATTTACTATTATGTTCAGTGTTTGACCAATTATCATTTTATACAATATCAAAATACAATATTTCTAATCAATTATAATATGTAAAATAAAACCTTATAAATTATATTCCAATAAATCAAGGTTATTAAAAAAATGGCATACCGATTACAGTAACATAAAATACACATTCTGCAGTATTGCCAT